AGAGCACAAGCATGCACACAGCATTCTCCATGTACAATGGCTGAGGCATAAAACATGTAGAGAACATCATACACCATCTCCAGCTTTGCAGTGAGAAAAAAAGAGGTACCACTACAGATGATTTTTTTATTTTTTTATATTTTTTTCCAGAATTTTCTGGAATACTTTATGGCTCACTGTTTTTATTGTGTTGTTTAGTTACAAAGAGAAAAATTATATGGAGGAAAGAAATGAGGATTAACATATATCCAGCCATGCTATTAATAAAAAATAATAATTAAAAAAAAAAAAAAAAACTGATCCTTACCAGAACTTTCCTGAATAAATTGTTAAAAAGGAAAAAAATTGTACAACATCCCATCCAGATGGTAGTTCCAGTGCTCCGTGGTCAGCCTGTTTATTAATGAACATCTGTTTTCCTTACAAAACAGTGTGGACTTTCTACTATAAATTCTCCTTTCACATATTTCTTGGAAAATGACATTAGGAGTAATTCACTGTCACATAGATAAGCCAAATTTATTTTTAATTTTAGATATTGCATATTAATTATAGTATTTCTGTCACTCACTAGGTTATTGATGTATTTGTAAAACCTGTAGTTGAATATTGAAAATCTAAAAATATGACTTTGTGTTTGAAGATGATTGGCTCCAGTCCCCTTAGTTGTCCTTTCCTTTTAGCTCTCTGCACAACTGGATGAATGTTGGTGGTAGAAATGATAATGGACATCAGACTTCAAAGCACTACAGATATAATGCTAGAGTTCCCTGAAATAATCAATAGACTTGAGCGCATCATTGTCTGGTCATGGACACTTTTTGAATAGAAAAATGGCTTAATTGTAATTCAAGGTAAGTTTCTTCTTAATTTTAACCATATCTTACCATTTACTGAATGCTATACATTGAATTATACAGAACAACTGAGATTTGGTAATCTGAGAGGCAATTAAAATTTGGAAACAGACCAAAGCTACAAGTACATCACCATATGTAGGGCAATATTTTAATTACAAATGAGAACGTGATGGAAGATTTCAGTCCAGTCTCAAGATTTTGAAACATCACAAAATAAAGACATTGAAAGGGAATGTTTAGATGCAAACATTTTAAAAATAAGGTTTAAATTTAAATGCAAAAAACTTTAGTTTTCTATTAATGGTATGCATCTTTAAACACAAGAGCATAAAGATCTGGAAGCTCTTCTAGAACTTTTCTTTTCTCAATACAATGTCTGTTTTTAAACTCCGGTGCAGAACAATAGTACTCTTACAATATCTTTCCTTTTGTGCTCTGACATTACTTAAGAAAGAAACAAGCTAGGAGTCGGCTGGTATACCTGCTTATGCAGAAGTTTCAAAGCCATAGACAAGTGACTTCTGTTTATTTTAAACAGAAATATGTGTGTGCCTCCGTAGGTGAGTGTGTGTGCATCTGTGTGTACAAGTGTGTCTTTGTTTCTGTATTCACCCTGATATCCAAGGTACATGGCTATCTGCAGTTCAGTGGCTGTGATATCACTATGACACATGACAGATCAAAAACGTGTGAATAAACAGAATACTGCTGGAAGCCACTGTTGCTGGAAGCCACAGCAGTGAGGGCGGTGAAACTGTGTTATGTAGAAACTATGGCTCCTTGCTAGTTTCAAACTACGCAGCATGGCTAGCATCAAACTACTCTTTCCACATCAGTGAGGTGACCATTACAGTTAAAAATTATAAACAAGATTATTTTTTTTTAAAAAAAAAAGGCAACTAAGTGAATGAGATGAAAGCCAGACATTGACTGTGTTGTCCACCCTGCAATCTGCTCTTTCAGCAAAAGCATGGATGTTCTTATAGGAAATAGGTCAAAGCAGAGCAATACTGACCTCAGAAGAGGAGACCTTGGGAAGGGAGTTTGGCTTTCAGCTGAGAATGTGATTCCCTTTTTCTGATTGCTTTCTGTCACCGGTAATTAAGATTGCCGTGGCAGGAGTTAACTGATGTCATACAAGCAAGGAGGGACCTGCTGGAGGCCCCAGTGGGCTCAGACACTGGGCAAGCCCTGGGCACCCCACAGCAGCAGCCGGGCAGCTCCCACCTTCCCCGTGCAGTTGTCGTCCGCTCACCTGGGACAATTGCACTTTCCAACAATGAGCTGCTTGGTCATGGACAAGAGCCCAGCCCCTGGTGTGAAGATGTTGCCAGAGTAGTTTTGGCATCCAACCCTTCTATCTGAAGTGAAAGTGCTTATTTAAAATGCTTATTTGAAGATCCAAATGCCCCAGCCTGCACCTGCAGAGACCTAAGGAGGCAAAATCAAGCCAGAATTGCATTTATCTTCACACTACAAGCACAAAAGACAGTTTAAATATCTGGTCTTAAATGCTTCTAAAACTGCAAGTGTAAAACCACACAGAAACATCCTCCCTGAGGAAGGTTTGCAGCCGAGTCACGGAGCAGAAACTGCTCGGGTCTGTTCCAAGTCCATTACAGATGACACAAGTCATATCATTTTTCTGTGCCTCACTGCCACCTTTGGACTCCTCTGTTCAGGCAGTAAACAGTTTCCAGAAGGAATCATCTCTGACTGTGTCTGCTGCTCTTAGTTTAGCGTAGCTCAGCTGAGGAGGTATTGTAACTATCTGTTTCTCTGCTGCAACAGCAAGTCTCTAATTATAAGCTTAATTGAATGGCCTCAAAAAGGGGGCAGAGCATCATCTTCTATGTATATACATTTAATACAAATGGGGCTGGGAGAAAGCATTGTTCCAGTTAGCAGCTTTCAGAAAAAATTAAACACGATAGAATATTTTGGGATTTCTGGAGTGAGCTCATGACACCCGTGCACTGCTGCATCTATGAGACATGCATTTTAAGACCCAAGGTTCTTTCAAAAATCCTGGCTGCAGTAGTTATTGCTGTTTTATCGCCAACTGAGGGATCCCTTTCTAACCTGAGGGGAAGTCAGTGTCATCTACTGGATAACGTAGTGGCCTGGAACTGCGCAGACTTGCCTCTAATCCCAGCTCTGCTGTTAGTTGGCTGAGATGACCTTGAGTACATCACCTCACTCCTCAAAGCTCTTACTCCCCATACACAAAATGGAGACCCTGACAGTTACTTCATTTTTAAAGAACATGAAGATCCACTGGTGAAGATGTCTTAGATAACAGCCACATATTATCATTAATAACTCATGCTCCTTATGCAATATTCTCTGTGCCAAAGATGGAAGTCATTCAATTTGCAGAATCTGCCATTAATTGCTCTCTTGCTGTTAAAAAAGAAGAATAAGAGCTTGAAAAAAAAATTGTAACAGGAGTAGTGGGGCAAAATCAAGGCCAGTTTTCATGTGAGACTGGTTGAATTTATTATTGATGCAATTGCCTACAACAGAATGAAGGTAGGTCCGCTGACCCAAGGAACTCCCTCCCCATACTCTTTCAGGGGTGTCCTAAATGCTCTTAAAAATGACAGAACTCTTTTCAGTTCCTCAATCACTGAATCTCTACTTAAGATGAAAAATATTTTGACCCTTTGCTCAATTTCAGTGTTCTTACTCAAAATAGCATAAGGTGTTTTAATTAAAAGTAGACTTTATTACACAGGTTTCTTTTTTCCTTTTTCATTGGCACCTTGAAATTACAAGGTACCAGGAAGCTAAAAAACAATGTGGCCTGTTTGCAGTTTTTTGTTTGTTTGTTTGTTTGTTTGTTTTTAAATGAAGAAGGTTAAATAAAAAAAAAAAAATCCTTGTGTGCATAAAGTGAATATTTGGTAGGTAAGGTGTAAGCACTTCTTTTTGTTCCATAATTGTAAGAGAAACATTCTTTAATGTGCAGTAATAACATTCAAGCTATGCTATTTTGCAACAAATAATAATACACAACAGCGTGGGGCATGATAGCTAACAAAGTTTTTCCAGTTAATGTATCGCCCACATCTATCTACCTTATTTTCCAATGCCTTGGCTTTGTAATCCAGCCTTTTTTGCTGGAAATCTGACGCTGAGTGGAGCAGTAGTTACTTACCTTTTTAAGGAAAGAGTTTGAAGCAAGACTGCTGACTATCTCAAATCATTTCCATACAGAGCAGTGTATAATAGATTTCTTTTTCTTGTTTGTTTGAGTCAAATAATACTCAAGGTACAGAAAAGCTGGAGATGTGACTACTTGAATCCTTTAGTCCTGAAAAGCCTTAAGTTGTTTCCAAACTTGCACAATGTTATGCAAACAGGGGGGGGAAACTGTCAGAAAAAAAATGCAGAGGTCATCAAGACCCAGCAATGTGCATCAGTTTTGCTCGCAAATGAAGGAATAAATTTATCATTGCAGAGGTTGCATTAGTTACTGTAGACATGCACCATTTCCAAGATTTCTCGGGGGGTGAGAATACTGCGTATCAGAGCCAGCTTCTCCATTAGGCTTTTAACCGCAATGCTTCCTTGTTTTGTCGATGAGGAGTTAGATTTAGAAACACAGGGAGGGGAAGCAAGCACACACAAAAAAACACCAACTCTCTAGCTAAATTAAACTAAAACCTAGGTGAAGCCTCAGTGGGAAGCCTGCTGTGCAAATTGGATCTCCAAATGCAGAAAAAATTAATTATGTGATGCACAGCAATGAAGTAAGCAACACCTTGAAGTTAACCTGGGCAGAGCTATTGATTCAGCAAGAAGAAGAAAAAAAAAAAAAAATCACTTTGCTTCACCCTCTCTGTTGTTCTAATGTTAGTTTGGACTGTTGCCTGACCATTTCCAGCTAGCATTTCGTTCATCTGCAGCTGTTCTAAATGTGCACTCTTCCCCAATAGTCCAGACAAAAACTGATCCCATCTGAGTTAATATGTTGGTTTTGTGGGGGAAATACGGCGTGTGCAAAAAAAAATAAAAAAAATAGAGTTTGCTGTAAACACAGTAAAACAGACTTTGCCACCAACCTGGAGCTCTGAAGTGGACAACTCTCAAGGCCTCGAGGGCAGCAAATAGAATTACTCATGCAGTTTTGCCTACCTCTGCTCCAACAGTGCCAGTAAATCACTAGCAACTGATGACTGTTCTCCGACCCTGAGAAGTCTCATCTTGCCCCGTCCTACAGAGTTTTCTGCCATCTCCACTTCTACGTGCTGTGTAAATGGGAATGCTGTGGAAGAAAGATGATTTGGGTTGTACACAAGAGTGATGCAGGGAGCACACAGTCTACCTGACTGCAGTAGCCTGCTTGAATTTTAGAGAACTATCTTCAGACTGTTTGGTGGTCTGAGAGAAGGCCTTCTTAACAGCAGTGCCCATTTTGCTGTTGAGAAACCCTGCGAACCCCAACATTTTGCTGACCAAAAAACTTCCTGTTTCAGATTTGCTCTGCTGATCACAATCAGCCCCTAACCCAGCACAGCTCCATACTGAGAACTGGTGCTGCTAGTGCATACAACACATGCCTCTTCAATCACTGCTGCCTCCTCATTCAGCCCCAGTCAGCCAATCCTAAAAGATTTGGATCTGGGCAGCTTTAGCCACCCAGGCATCTGTTCAGTTGAATTGTCTTGAATGATAGACCCCTGAATTACCTGGGAGGAAGCACAGCCACAGGACTCTCTAATTGAGGGGTTCCTGGTTCCAGAATTTTTATTTCCCTCCTTAGTTGAGCACAGCCAAGATTTATTGACCTTCAAGTCGTGCTGCAAAACCTTGCTGTTGTTCTTGGCTTTTCCTGAGGAGGCTATGGAGGCAGACTGAGGCACTATGGAACTTTCTGCTGGAGTACTTTTTCAGATGCTGAACTATTAAAGTCTCTGTATTTTACAATGATTGCTGTTGTGTCTGAAGTTTCAGTTGACTGCCTTTATATAAACCAAAAATAATCAATCAATATATTGTTCTTTATGAACAATGATAAAATCCCATTGTTTGTCAGTGGCTCATCTTTTTACTTCAGCTTCCACTGTTTTACAGGAACATGAAGAAAATTAAGATACATTTAAAAGAAAAAAATTACCTTTTGCTTATTTGGCAGGCTGTATGTAGAAGGTTCTAATCAACTTTCTCTTTTTGTGTCCTCTACTTTGCAACAATGAAGACAAAGTAAAATTTTCCACTGTCTTAATTAGGAAGAAAACAACTTTGTCGCAGGATGAAAATAAGGCCCTCCTCCCCTCCCCACCAGCACTGCAGAGTCCTTTCAGCTGACTCACACAACAGGCCTGGAAGAGCATGATCTCACTTCACAGAAGGTCTTAACAGCTGACATCTGGCGGATTGAAGTGTGTCAACACTAAGGCATTATTCTTTAGGGTAGGAAAAAATTTACAGTAATGAGGCTGGGATGAGGATACAAAACCCTAGGTATGGTGATGTATTATTTCACTTCAAGAAGAAACAAAAATGTAGACTGATTCCCTGAAACGTTTTCCTAGGAGTAAAGTCTGTTAGACTGTGAAATAGTTTTAGAACAGAGAGAGTCTGTAGTAAAGGAAAAAGAGAAGTAATCCAAAAAAACATTAAGCCCAATGAAGGCTTCTGTGGCATTTACTAATTCTAGGCAAAAAAAAATAAAATAAAATAAAAAAAGAGATAGATTCATAAGAGGGGTGAGACTCAGTACTCTGGCTTTCAGATATCTTGGCACCTAATGCAAATGCCAGCTACAGGTCAGGTGTCAGTAGTTGCCTACAGATGGAATTCAAAGAACCCAGCATTGTCAGCCAAAAAAACTAAGAAAGCTTGAGGGATTTTTGCCCATAAGCAAAAGAAGTGGCATTAAACCTGCTTTTCAAACAGTATTGAAGCTTGGCATTTCTTTCCCCTTGGGATATGCAGCCATGTAACTCTCCTTAGAGTATGGATGTCCAAGAAACAAATCCAAGCTCAAATCCTTGCTTTGCAAGAGTGGGGGTTGACTCTCCCACATCCCAGTTGGCTGCTCTAAACAGCCTGTATTAATTAAGCCATAAGAGTTAGGTATAATTACCTACATATTATGTTTTCTGAGCAGTTTATTGCTTTCAAAGCATGACTACTGTATTAAATCCTAGTTGCAGATACTGTATGTTAGTCCGATTGGGTTTAGGCACAGGAAGAGCCCAAAGTGCCTTTACACTATCAAGACAGCTGATTTTGCATACAGTCAATAACAGAAATCTACAAAAGAAATCTAAAGGTATCTAGCACCAGAGAAGAGCTCTAGGTATTAATGTCAGACACAAATATCTAAAGAGACATTTAGTCACACAGCTTTTCCCCCTCCCAAAGTTATAATGTTAGCAAACAAAAGCATAAATCCCTGAAACAGTATTGCTTTTCTGATTTCTACTTTCATCGTCAATGTCTGAATTTGGATTATCCATATCAGGGAATTTTTCCTTGTTAAAAGGCTCTCTACACCCATGAACCATCTTTGACCCTCTGTCCCTCTGAACAGCAAACTCTGTGACCATGCCAAATACCTTGACAGGAAGCACTGTTTGAGCTTCAGTTTCTTCAGCTCAGTAGTTTCTGCTGCAAAGGGGAAGCAAACTACAAGGGACAATGAAACTAGTTTTCCCATCCCTAACGCTATGCTCAACACAGGACTTTTCTAGAACACGATGCTTCTCAGAATTGGTTTGAGACCTGGGGTGGAAGTGCATTACAGGGCATTAAATATGAAGTGGACTATGAAAGCAATATGACCAACTAGAAACTTGACTGGTCTTAATACATGATACTATATCATTATTACTTCAGGTAGCCAGTTCAATTAAATACGGTTAAGTGTTTTAGTGACAAAAAACAGAAAAGTTAGTCAAAGTTGTCATTGACTTTGATGTCTATTTAACACACTCAGTCCCTTGGTGCAACTACGTTGTTGCAAGTTAATTAATGACTGCTTAAATATAAAGAGCTTTACATTTCCTTTCATTTAGGAAACACATTACGTTTCAAGGGAAAACAGAAAGCTCATCAACCTGAGTTATCCAAAATGATTCAGAGCAAAATGTAGACACTGAGACAAAGCCCACCATTAATATAACAGAACAAGGACATTGAGTATGACTTTGTTTGGAAAGGAAAGCATACCATTCCCAGTGAATAAAGTTAATCATTTTGCTAGGCCTTTTTTTCTCTCCATGAGTTACCTGTTAAGTCCCAGTTGCTCCAAGTTTGCTTAATGTACCCCTTGGATTCTTCATAAACATATGGCACAAATATTAATGAGTCACTGTTGCCCCAGTGTAATTGGTCATCTAACCAAATGGCTCTGTTTGCATTCCTTGATTGGATTACCTCATTTTCTTTACAGAATTGTCTAAAAATTGATTGGAGCTTGGTTTCTTTCAGGAGGTTTTTTCATTACCAACACCACCTTCGCCCAAACCACCTACCAACTCCTCATCCTTAAAATGATTTCTTAACCCCCATGTTCCTCTGCAACAAGCTCATTCTCTACATCCAGTTAAATTACCAATCTATTCTAATGAGCATGGAGGCTTTAGCCTAAACGACTTGTGAATTTTATTTGTAGTCTTATGAAAGACACCTTTTTTCTTTAATAACTTCAGTTGCTCAGCTAAATATTCATAAATAATGGACTAGAAGACATTCTAAATGCCAACAAAGCAAGGTGGGATTTTTTTTTTTGGAGGGGGTGTTTGTTTTTCTTGTTGTTGTTTGTGTTATTTTGTATATTCATCCTGCTGGAGGCAAAAGGAACCCCTAGCATCTATAAGGATCTGAACCATACATTCCTCCTAGAGTTAAATGCTAATACTTTTAGATAAACTGAACTTATTTATAATAACACCATCTGTGGGATTCTGATAGTGTTGGGGGGAGAGATTAATTTATCTTGCATTTTAAATAGAGATGGCCGCTGGCATCAAAATCCAGATCTAGCTTTTAGCCACCCAGTTATCAGAGAATTCCACATTCAGGGTACTGCATCCCTCACCAGAACGTTTCCATAATACCGATGGACATGTGCTATGAAGTGATGTAGTGGCAGCACAGAGCAGTCCCTCCTTCTCCCCAAAGCAGGCAGCATGTCCAGATGGATCACAATGCAGAATTCCCCCAATAATGGTAAGATCTAAGAGTTAAGACTGGATTTAATTTCTAGGTTTCTAATTAGCACATCACATGGCATAAGCATCTCACCATATTTGTGATCAATTGAGTAGGTAGCTTTACTTCTGGAACAAAGGTTTGCAGGCCTAGGAAATCTCCACTAAACAGACTATGTAATACATACATACATACATACATACATACATCTATTACCCACCCTAAACCTGTTGTCATGCTCTTTTTTTTTTGCCTCACTTCATTCAGCATGACTTGTACAGCATTACCAAAGGAGATACACCTAGGACAGGAGCCCATATGAACCACGGTGCTGCATTTTCCCTTGCTCAGTATTATACTTCATACGCTACATATTTATTTTTTTTCCAAAGTATTGGTTCTTTTAAACTTTATAGCTACCAAAACAGTAGTTGCTGAAATAAAAGTGGTTCAAAAAGAATGCAAAACAAAGTCCTCTGAAAAAAAAATAAAAATAAAAATAATTTTAAAAAATAATTTTAAAAAATCAAACAACATAAAGCAACCTTGGAATTAAGTGTTCCATATGATAATGAAAGAGAGACTGGTTACATGACACCCTTCAAACTTCACAGCAGCAGCCTATAGGGAAAGGAAAGGAACTCTGAGACCTTAGATTTTGTTTCTTGCTGTCTTTCACAAATTTCCTGCTTTAGCCACCTGAACAGTGACTATAGATGGTATATATATGATTAATGAAATCTAAAATGTAATGCAAATACTTGCAGCAGATAAAATTAACATTGGACTCCATCTATAACATTTTATTAATTAATTCCAAGTTGGTCAACCATTTCCTAATGAACGTGAAGAAAAGTTTTATTTGCCCTTCCAGAAGAAATAAAATACTGTTTTCCCCCGATGAAAACCAAAATCAGTCTTGTTAAGTCCAAACAGAAGTCAGTTATCACATATCAACATTTCTTTCCTGTGACCTTTAAACTCATTCATGACATCCCAGCCTGTTTCATTAAAGAGGTCATATTCAACCTGTAAAGGAAGGAAAAAAATGTCATGCTTCAGTAATGAATTACTGCATATGCACAAAGTGATCGAATGAAAGAAGATTCATGAGCACAAGCTCTGGTATTTACTAACTTCTAAGTGTTCCTGTAAAGTTGTAAACCAATATTCTTTTAATATCAGTTTTTCACTTAGTGCCTACGATTTGCAGGTGTGATAAAACTGGGCCTATAAATAAGCTGCATAAAATTCTTTACATTCGTCTCTTAGTTGAACATGTAGGTTGCACAGGAAAAATGGCTGCTGTTCTTGCCAGATAGGACACTGTACACTTTTATATACGATGCATGCTTTGGAAACATATGCAAGCTAATTTCTGAACTGGAAGCAATATAACCATGTTAGTGTCACCAGCACAATCAAGGTGAATTTGTTCCCCTTTGCCTGAACTTCACTCAGGTACCTCCCTGCAGTACTAACCACAGACATACTGCACAGCTGCACACACCTTCTGTGGCATGCTACAAGGTGTCTGAGCAGCAAAGACAGTAAATATATGCAACTCTGTAAGAAGAGGGATTAAAATACACTCGAGGAAGGATTGTATACACACGAGGCAATATCACGTATGTGTGAATACTATGTGTGAACTTGATACATGTCAGGCAGCATCATGTAAAGAGTGTGTATGCCTAAGAATTTTCGCTAAATAGCCAAATATATCAATGTATCCTTGCCACTCCTCCCCAGGCTTCCACTCTAGGTCTCCTGAAGGCACAGATTCAGAAACAGATGCACCCCCATTTATTAAAATACCACATTTACAGGGGAGGAACAGGATTAAATAACAAGAAAACCTTCCCCTCTTAACACAACAGTCTCTAAGAGTCACTGCTTTCTAACTCTTAGAAAAGCTAAAAGCCTTTCTTAGTTGTAGAGTAAATGAAAAGGATACTATGGAGAAGGGGAGTTCATGAGGATAGCAAGGACTGGAGGCAGGAAAGAGGAGTGTATTTGTATTCATCACTCTTGGTGTAATGCATTACTGCTGCTTTAGCTTGGTCGAAAATGTCCATGCAAAAGGATTGGGGGAA